GACTCAAACCAAAGTTTTCGCTAAGAATGAACAATACTCAAGGCTATTATTAGCATGGATCGAACTTAGTATAAGTTGTACATTTTCAGACAGGTTCGCATGGAACAAACCTACTATATGTCTATAGAGCCAACACACTCACCAAAGCCCACAAAACATTAAAATCTACAAATTAAAAACACAAAAAGGGTTGACCGAGATAGAGTATGAACCTGAACATATGTATTAGCAGCCGGAACAATATCAGAATTCTTTGCCCCTGTAAAAGCTGAAAGGCGACTAAACAGTCAACAGTCTGGTTTTACCTACTCGTCACAAACTTGTACTGGTCAGCTACAAACATCCCTTGTTACCTGTTAGTGCCCAGGAACCAAACAGTCTTGTAAACACCATCATCATGACTCCACAAGCCAATCCGATGAAAAGCAAGATTGATATCTGATGTTGTACTTCATCTTTATCCTGCATAAGCACTATTCTATTACGAGGTTCTAGTGACATAGAGAAAATTCTTGAAATTACTTAATGAGTAATGATTAAAAGGTATTATACAACAAATTCCTAGTTCAAGAATAAGAATCTCCTGACGATTTTAATAAACTGACCCGCCGAGCAAGAGAAGTGGCAACAAGATTTGAAGTCGCAACTGAGAGGAACATGAACGTATAACACAAATAATCACAGATGACCGTTGCAGGACCTGTTTCATCCATAATGAAATTTAGATCATGTTACTTAAATCAGTAACCCACACGTCGAACATAACAAAAAGAAGAACGCACTCAGATACTCCCCGTGTCACACATTCAAGATATATATACGACATCGAAATAAAATGTTTAGAAGGCCTGAGTAATCAAAAGACATGACTGAAACTTATCTTCATCTTTGTTTACAATTTGACAATTAAACAAAAGAGCTACTGTGCTTTATAGGACCTAAAGATCCCATTTCTCCCTCAGTATTTTCACACAATCCATACAAAATCAAGAAAGTTAAAGCAGCAACTTTTTTATAAGTTCAACACACACAAAAATTAAGCAACACTAAATCCGTGATCAAAGAAAGGTTAGTGCTTTTCCAGCACAACACCAGAGATAAACACACATACGGGTCCATCTGGATTCACAGTAACACAGTATATTAAAAGAGAGTAAAGCTCTTCATTGTCCATTCTAAACAGAGACAAGCAAAAGTTATTTAGTGTGTCCATATCAGAAAATAGAACAAAGAGCAAAAGAGACCCAATTCAAAAATCCACCATTTTTGCCAGATTAAGTTGAAGAATCGAAAGCCCAGAAAACCCAGTCAAGCAAACTCAGATTCAATGGTGTGTGTGTGTATATAGACATACCTAAAGCAGCGAGTTCGAGTGAGCTTCCTTGGCCAATCACCGCCGTGTCAATGAGACTCATCAACGGCCCACACAGCCACAGTCCAGCCGCAGGTCCCGTAAACATGACGATCTCTTTCATCTGCCCCCAAATACTCTGATCCGCCAACTCATCTTTCTTCACCTCTTCTGTTTCCACTTCAACCGGAGAAAAAATCGAACCGTCGCTTACATCTCCACCTTCAAGCTCAATCACTTCCTCCCCATTTCCTCTTCCTCCTTCAACAACAAGCTTCTGATTCGGACTTGCGCAGCTTCTTACAAACATGTTCAAATCTCCGGAAACAGAGCTCCTGAAACTCGGGAATGGAGGCTTCTTCCATCCTCGTAAAGTGATTGAAGATCGGAATGGTAGCTTGGGGTTAGAAGAAATCGAAGAAACTGTAAAAGTTAGGGCTTTGCATTGAATCTGCATAGTTTCCTTCGTCCTCCTCTTTGGTTATCAAAAATCAAACATGCAGAAACAAACATAAAATTTGCGGCTTGAAAGCTTAACTGATGCACCACCAACTCCCATTTTCCAAATTTACTCACTGTGTGACTCGTCTCATCATTTTCGGTCTAACGGTTGGTACAGTGAACCGGTTAACCAAATTAGATTCTAATTCGACGGCTCTAAAGCAAAGAGGAGAAACAAAAAGATACAAATTTGATAAGGCAAATGTGTGACTGTAAACAAGCCCAAGTGTTGATGTTTTTGGTGTCGGAGATACAAGACAAGAAGATATTAATATGCATCGAGTCCCTACTTTGTAAGTTGAGTGCAAGTTTGTGTGACTGAAAACTGTAAGCAATTGGCAAACAAGTAATGTTCATTTCATTTTCACATTTCATATGAGAAGAGGATCAAAATATGTTATAACCCTTTCTTTTAACTTCAAATTACAAATGATTTTCAAAGAAAAGAATTTTTTTTTTCCTTTCTTTTTTATGTCGAAACTGTATGAAAAGATAAAATAACCAAACAAAACTCAACTTATTTACGATCCAACCAGTTAAAATTCGATCCAAAAGTTTATCCATTCCGCATAAAGCTGATAAAAACCGTCCACGACCCGGAAACGACTCTTCCTCTTCATAACTCCGCCCACGACCGTTTTATAAGACAAAATTGAACACAAATTCACTCAAAAATCAGGACAACTAGGGATAACCAACTGCGAAAATCACTACGAAGATTTCACAAAGAGATCCAATTTCCAGTCTCTTTCGTGCACCAACTGCGAACTAGGAGGTAAGGGTTTAGTTCGAATTCGTTAAATTTTTTCAATGTCGTAGAATTAGGTATAAATAAATTTGAATTTGATTTGATTTTGATTTTGCTGTAGAAACTATGCCGCCGCATACAAAGAATCCATCAGTTGGAGTTGATGGAAATCCTTTACGGGTTCCTTCCGCACCCTCGAATCCAGCGAATGAATAAGAAAATGAAGAAAATAGGGTTTCCCAAGAAGAGGAAACTGAAGGTGAAGAAGAAAGGATTTCGGACGATGAAGGATCCGAAGGTGAAGAAGAACGAGTTTCAGAGGAGGAAGAAGGTTCCGGAAAGGACAGAGAGGAAAATGTATCAACGGTATGTAACTTCAAACTCGGAGAGTAACACTTGGTATAACTGGAATGAGAAAGAGAGTAATACTTGGTATAACTGGCACCAGAAAGG